GATGTTTATGCTGGCACCTTGTCTATGGAATTTGGTGATATTGTTGTTCATTTTAATATTCTAGATGCCATGAAATTTCCTTCTGAAGCTCATTCTATTTTTCGTGTTGAATTGATTGATGATCTAGTTGATGAGCACATTCATGATTTTGATTCTTCTCATGCTAAGAAGCATTCATTCTCATTTGATTTGTATAGTTGCCTTTCATGCATTAAGTCTGAGTCTAAATCTGAATATGAGTCTGAATGTGAAATTCATTGTGAGGCATCTGAATTTGACACTTTGGGTGTTGTACCTCTTGGTCTTGATTTTATACAGTCAGAATGCACTAACCATGTTGCAGGAAGTACAAAAGAATCTGACTTGCAGGTTGAGGTACAGGCTGCGGAACCCCTTCTCCCTTCTTTGGTTCTTTCTAATGTTCAGCCAACACTCACACCAGAGTTAAAGCCTCTTCTAGAGAACCTCAAGTATGCTTACTTGGAGGACGATGAGAGATTCCCCTGTGATCATATCCACCTCCCTTGATACTGATCAAGAAGAGAGGTTGTTGCATGTGCTTCACAGTTAAGCGTGCTTGACTGGAGTAATGTAGGGATGGGTGACCTTCTGGAAAGTTTCCAAAAATTGTGTAATTAAGGACAAAACATGCTAAAAACTTAAGTATTATGAAATAAAATCTTTAAGAGGCCAAATATGAGTGGTTCATAGCGACCAAATTTGTGACGTCTATAAAATTTAATAAAATAAAAAATAAATATTTAGCGACCGATTTAGCGACCGATTTATTCGGTCACTAATTTGGTCCCATAAACTTTAGCTACCAAAATCATTTCAACCATTTAGCGACCGAATTAGCGACCAAAATTTTCGGTCGCTAAATAGCGACCAAAAATTTTCAGTCACTAAATAGCTTAGCGACCAGGGTTTTAGCGACTGATTAAATTCGGTCGCTAAGGTAAATAGCGACCGATTTTTGCAATTTAGCGACCGATTTTGGTGGTCGCTAAATTGCATATTTTTTGTAGTGGTTGTGGATTTTTTCAGATCTAACATATTTTGCAGGTTTGGAGTACCCAAAGTTATTGTGAGTGATCAGGGCACCCATTTTTGTAATAGATCTATGCAGGCTTTGCTCAAGAAGTATGGGGTTGTTCATAGAGTTTCTACACCCTACCACCCCCAGACTAATGGGCAAGCCGAGATTTCAAATAGGGAGATCAAGAGGATCTTAGAGAAGATTATGTAGCCCAACAGGAAAGATTGGAGCAATAGGCTAGAGGATGCTCTATGGGCACATAGGACTGCTTACAAAGCACCCTTAGGGATGTCTCCTTATCGGGTTGTCTTTGGCAAAGCATGTCATCTTCTTGTGGAGATAGAGCACCGAGCCTACTGGGCTGTGAAGACTTGTAACTTCTCTATTGATCAGGCTGGAGAGGAAAGAAAGTTGCAACTGAGTGAGCTTGATGAGATCTTCCTTGAAGCCTATGAGAACTCTAAGTTCTACAAGGAGAAAACCAAGAAGTTTCATGATAGTTTGATAACTATAAAGGACTTCACGGTTGGGTAGAAAGTTTTACTATATAATTCAAGGCTCGGTCTCATGGGTGGTAAGTTACATTCTAAGTGGATTGGACCTTTTGTTGTTACTAATGTTTTTCCTTATGGTACAGTTGAGATCAAAAGTGAATCCACAGACAAGAGCTTCAAAGTTAATGGGCACCGTCTAAAGCCTTTCCTCAGCAATCCTTCCCTGTCGAATGCAATTGAAGAGGAGATGTCTCTACTCGACCCCGCTACTCTCCCACCATGACTTAGGGAGTTTTCTTTCCCTCTCTCCTTCTTTACTTTTGTTGCACATGTCCAATTCTGTTGATTGTTCTGATTGCTTTGATCTTATGTGTATGCCACATTAGGACAATGTGTGATTTAAGTGTGGGGGGAACTGTTTTGGTTATATGCTTTTAGGGTTTATTTGTTATTTTTGGTTTAGGTTTTATGTTTAGGTGTTATGTACAGTTTTGCATGTTTCTCTTTGATTTCTGGGTTTTGATAGTTTGTAGGCACTTGCTTCACTCTTGGATATAAGCATAAGAAGCAAACCCAAAAACCTCTAATGACCTCTACAATAATCAATCCTCTTTCTCTTGCCTCAAACAACTTCTCTTTTTCATTTTTTCATTTATTATTATTATTATTATTTTATTTTATTTTATTTTTTTAATGAACAGTACGTAGTGAACAGTACACACGAAAATTTGAAATGAGATAAGATAACATGTAGAGAAGTAAAATGTATAGCATAAGGAATCAACTAGCCAATATACATCATCCAAACATACACACACCCCCACACTTATTCAAGAACTTATTCCCAAAACAATTCCAAATCTCCAAAACTCCCTAAGGTTAAGGTAAGCATGGTTTTTTGCTTAAGGCTTATAATGAGCTTCAAACAAGGAAGGGGAAATAGGCTCAGCAGGGGTTATCAGAGGAGTTAATTCAAGGTAGCCTTATTTGGCTAGAGGCTTATGAGAATCAAAATGCCTTAATCCTTTCCAAACATGCATGCGGACCAAGAAATATCAAATAGAGCCAAGCCAAGGATATTGTGCAAGCAATAAAGAGGCAAAACACACAAGAAAGAATAGAGAAGGGTTCAAAACCTCACACAGGGTGAATCTGTCACATTCAATTCAACCTCTCAAATCTCATAATCAACTTGCCAAGCAGAGAAAGACAGGGATTTCAATTCATATAATATCAAGTAACTCATATCCAAGAGTGAAGCAAGTGCCTACAAACTATCAAAACCCAGAAATCAAAGAGAAACATGCAAAACTGTACATAACACCTAAACATAAAACCTAAACCAAAAATAACAAATAAACCCTAAAAGCATATAACCAAAACAGTTCCCCCCACACTTAAATCACACATTGTCCTAATGTGGCATACACATAAGATCAAAGCAATCAGAACAATCAACAGAATTGGACATGTGCAACAAAAGTAAAGAAGGAGAGAGGGAAAGAAAACTCCCTAAGTCATGGTGGGAGAGTAGCGGGGTCGAGTAGAGACATCTCCTCTTCAATTGCATTCGACAGGGAAGGATTGCTGAGGAAAGGCTTTAGACGGTGCCCATTAACTTTGAAGCTCTTGTCTGTGGATTCACTTTTGATCTCAACTGTACCATAAGGAAAAACATTAGTAACAACAAAAGGTCCAATCCACTTAGAATGTAACTTACCACCCATGAGACCGAGCCTTGAATTATATAGTAAAACTTTCTACCCAACCGTGAAGTCCTTTATAGTTATCAAACTATCATGAAACTTCTTGGTTTTCTCCTTGTAGAACTTAGAGTTCTCATAGGCTTCAAGGAAGATCTCATCAAGCTCACTCAGTTGCAACTTTCTTTCCTCTCCAGCCTGATCAATAGAGAAGTTACAAGTCTTCACAGCCCAGTAGGCTCGGTGCTCTATCTCCACAAGAAGATGACATGCTTTGCCAAAGACAACCCGATAAGGAGACATCCCTAAGGGTGCTTTGTAAGCAGTCCTATGTGCCCATAGAGCATCCTCTAGCCTATTGCTCCAATCTTTCCTGTTGGGCTACACAATCTTCTCTAAGATCCTCTTGATCTCCCTATTTGAAATCTCGGCTTGCCCATTAGTCTGGGGGTGGTAGGGTGTAGAAACTCTATGAACAACCCCATACTTCTTGAGCAAAGCCTGCATAGATCTATTACAAAAATGGGTGCCCTGATCACTCACAATAACTTTGGGTACTCCAAACCTGCAAAATATGTTAGATCTGACAAAATCCACAACCACTACAAAAAATATGCAATTTAGCGACCACCAAAATCGGTCGCTAAATTGCAAAAATCGGTCGCTATTTACCTTAGCGACCGAATTTAATCAGTCGCTAAAACCCTGGTCGCTAAGCTATTTAGTGACTGAAAATTTTTGGTCGCTATTTAGCGACCGAAAATTTTGGTCGCTAATTCGGTCGCTAAATGGTTGAAATGATTTTGGTAGCTAAAGTTTATGGGACCAAATTAGTGACCGAATAAATCGGTCGCTAAATCGGTCGCTAAATATTTATTTTTTATTTTATTAAATTTTATAGACGTCACAAATTTGGTCGCTATGAACCACTCATATTTGGCCTCTTAAGGATTTTATTTCACAATACTTAAGTTTTTAGCATGTTTTGTCCTTAATTACACAATTTTTGGAAACTTTCCAGAAGGTCACCCATCCCTACATTACTCCAGTCAAGCACGCTTAACTGTGAAGCACATGCAACAACCTCTCTTCTTGATCAGTATCAAGGGAGGTGGATATGATCACAGGGGAATCTCTCATCGTCCTCCAAGTAAGCATACTTGAGGTTCTCTAGAAGAGGCTTTAACTCTGGTGTGAGTGTTGGCTGAACATTAGAAAGAACCAAAGAAGGGAGAAGGGGTTCCGCAGCCTGTACCTCAACCTGCAAGTCAGATTCTTTTGTACTTCCTGCAACATGGTTAGTGCATTCTGACTGTATAAAATCAAGACCAAGAGGTACAACACCCAAAGTGTCAAATTCAGATGCCTCACAATGAATTTCACATTCAGACTCATATTCAGATTTAGACTCAGACTTAATGCATGAAAGGCAACTATACAAATCAAATGAGAATGAATGCTTCTTAGCATGAGAAGAATCAAAATCATGAATGTGCTCATCAACTAGATCATCAATCAATTCAACACGAAAAATAGAATGAGCTTCAGAAGGAAATTTCATGGCATCTAGAATATTAAAATGAACAACAATATCACCAAATTCCATAGACAAGGTGCCAGCATAAACATCAATCTTAGTCCGGGCTGTTTTCAAAAATGGTCTGCCTAGAATGATTGGGACAGAGCCATGGGAGAATCCCTCCTCCATATCAAGAACATAAAAATTAGTGGGAAAAATAAGTTCACAAACTGTACTCCAATATGGGTGCATCCTTATCCTCCTCTTCTTTGCTAGCCCATGCAGCAATGTTCATTTAACCTAGTATCTAATAAAAGAATTGAATCCTATGAATCTATATATCAAGAATTATGTGGAAAAAAAAAATAAAGGAAAACTTGAGAGAGGAATGTGACCAAGAAATCTGTAACAAGAAAAACTCAAACTACTAGACGTCCAATGACATTAAGATATTCAGAGTTTAAAATCAGAGTCAAATAATTTACCTTCAAAGTCAGAACCTGAATCAGGATCATAAACTATATCCAAATATGAAGATACAATAGAAACCCACCATTAGTTTCATCTTCAACAACAACATCATCCCTAGGCTGCTGCTCCTTCCCTGCTTTCCAATTCACACAATAAAATGCTAATGTCTTTTTGGTATAAAAAAAAAAAAATCAAAAGTAGCCCATTCAGAAGACCATGAAACAGTCACTACAGAATACAAAGAAGAGGAAAATGAGGAGTTTGAAGACAAAACTACAAAAAAAAATTAAGCAGAAACTTCTTATCACTTCATTAGGAATTAAACTAAGGATAAGGACAATTACAATTAATAGTCCAACACATCAAGCAGAAAGAAACCTAGTACAATTTACATCACAAGATCAATCACATTTTCAATGTTTTACTTCACTTATATCCTCTTGACATTTACTCCCGTCATACAATTTTAATTAACCAGGCAAGCGTGAAGACAACATGCAATACAAGTATTTGCTTTCAAAATTCAGATATGAAAACACCCTGTCAAATAAACGCTAGTGTAACCAAATGTAAGATCAAGGTCCTTTTGATAAGAGGAGAAGCTAACTTAAGGCCTATTTGGATAATCTTCTCCAAAAACATTTCTAGGAGAGAAAAAAATACGAAGATAAAATGAAATAAAGGAAAACTTGAGAGAGGAATGTGACCAAGAAATCTCATGACAAGAAAAACTCAAACTACTATACTTTCAATGAAATTAAGATATTCAAAGTTTAAAATCAGATAGTCAAACAATTTACCTTCAAAGTCAAAACTTGAATCGGGATCATAAACTATATCCAAATATGAAGATACAATAGAAACCCGCCATTAGTTTCATCTTCAACAACAACATCATCCCTAGGCTGCTCCTCCTTCCCTGCTTTCCAATTCACACAATAAAATGCAAATGCCTTTTTGGTAAAGAAAAAAAAGAAAAAGAATACAAAGTAGCCCAATTCTTTATTGCTTCAACAACACAGCGCCTCAATCTTCTTGTTTTCAAAACTTCAACCGATCAAAAAACTCAAAATCGCATTTCGCATAAACACAAAGAAAAATAGCACAATCGAAACAGATTCAAGTAACAAACAAGAAAAATGAAATTAAGAAAAAAAATGGTTCATGAAAAGGCCTGCGTCCAAACTAGAGAGTAAAGAAAATAAAGAAGTACCAAAATTGTGAAAAAGAAAGTAAAAGAGAAAATCGGAAAGATTACGACTACCAGAACGTATGTGATTGGAAAGGCCTCAACGAGAAGAAGCTCCATCGGCGCATGTTAACTTTGGTTAGGGTTTCGGGTCAAAACACGGTTTCAAAGAGTCAAGAGAGACAAAGGTGAATACCGTGTTCTCGCTCACTCTCTTTGTTTGTTTCTCGCTTGAAGAAGGAATGGATTGTGGCAATTTCTTCGCTCTATTTTTCTTTTGAATATCTTTGGTTGCCTGGTGTTTACAACAAAGTATAAATGTGTTCTAGTGTTTAGACTATATAATCCAAGCTATAAAATCATATTACTCTTCCTTAAGGAACTCAAAAGAATTTTTTACCGGAAAATAATTTTTTTTAAAAATTACAAAAATGGACCCCCCCTCCCCTTTATTTATTAAACTAAAACTATTCACTGTACAGGTTTATAATTCGGTCTCCAGAAAATCAAATTCTGACCACAGTAGCACTGACGATGTTGTGATGATTACCGAAATTCCCGAATTCTGAGCGGCCTTTTTTTTTACATTTATAATAAATTGAAATTTTTTAAAAAATAAGAATTTAAAATTTTTTAAAAAATTAAAAATAAATGTAATATTTAAATATAAAATTAGTTTATTATTATTTAAATACAATAAGTTAATTTAAAATTTTAATAAGTTATAATGTTAATAAATAATAATTTTAATACATTATATTTATAATAAGTTAGAAATTTAATAAGTTATAATTATAATAAGTTATATTTATAATAAGTTAGAAATTTAATAAATTATAAATATAATAAATTAGTATATATTATAAATATATGTGTGTTTAAAAATATTAATAATATATACAATTAAAATAATACTTTACAAACACATTAGAAACCAATCTTTTCAACACAATATATTATTCATATGACAGAAGAACCCATCACCAAGAAATTGTAACCACCACAACTAAAGACCTGTAAATATGTAAAACATCTAAAACACACTGATATTAGTCCACGAGTATGTTTGGGCCAACTTAATTTTAACTTAACTTCTACTTATAAGTAAAAGTTGGACCAAAAACTTATTAATAAATGCCCTTAAGAAAGTAGCATAAATTTTATGAACAAATAAAAAGTAGTTTATAGAAAAGCTAGTACATGTAGCTTATATGAAACTTTCATGGAGCTTTGTTTAAAATGTCCACTTTCCGAATCTTCACATAGTACTTTTTAGGGTGTTGCTCCTTGCTATATTTTTTTCCCTTTGATTTTATTTTTCACTTTACACTACAGGTGCTTAGTTGAATTCACTGGGAGAATCTGAAAATGGTCACTCACATCCTGCTCTCCATCACCATGAGTCAGGTAAGGTTTTTTATCCTAGTCTTTGCTCTTTCCTTATATCATGGTCTTTGCTCTATCCCATTATAACAGATTACATAACGTAGGCATAGCTCTATCCATTATAACATAGTAAAATAAATGTACAAAAATAATATTCATAGGGTAACAATCACCCTAAATAAAAGCCCATATGTTCACATTCCTTAAACATTTTATCATTTGTAAACAATATTTAAATTTCTTTAATTAATATTATATGTATTATATGCAAACTAGACACTTTGTATCTCTATATATATGACATAAACATACTTGTTTATAAATTATAAGTAACAATTTATTTAAGTTAGATTGTGAGACAGTTATAATTTTATGCATAAAAAAAAATGTTATTTTTTTGCACTAGTAGTTCCATTAAGGTGAAAAACCACATTGTATCATGTGTGTAGTGGAGGTTAGTAAATGGTTGGGGGAAGTTGTGAAGTAATTTATTCACAAATTTCTCTCAACATATTCTACCCCTTATTCCTCCTTTGGCTTTCATACACTTGCAGCCTAGTAAGCCCACTCCTCTTCTAATTTAGTAACAATTTATTTATACTATTGGAAAATAATGTCACACCTATAGACAATCAAAAAAGAACGGTAAAGAACCAAAAAATAGAAATAAAAAAATATATGTATATCTTGAAACAAGAACATGGAATCAGCCAAAATATTAAATGTGGAAATTATCCAAAAAAGGAACAACATTCACTTCCAATTTCCTCACATAGACATCTTCCTATATTCATTTTCATTTACTTAAACTTTCTCAATATACCGGTTTTAAAAATGAAATTAAATTTTTGAATTATAAAAACTAAATTAAAATCTTTGTTAGTTCTCAATAATTCAGAGGGAAGAAAAAAATTCACAGAGCAATGAATAGAAATACTGATGGTTGAGCTGTAGATAGCAAAATCAGCCAATAATTTTGTAATATGCACCAGAATTCAGAAAATCACAAATCCTTCAACAAACAAACATACACACACATATACAACTCTAAACACATCTTGGAAAAAAAGTGTTTATACATACAAAAGAAAGGTAAAATACATATATGTACCATAAAAGAAACATTACATAACCCGAGAAATTATTAATAAATTATATCAAAGCTAAAAAAGACAATAAGAAAGAAAGCCAAAGAACCGAAAATTAACGAAGATGATATGAAAACATGGAATTGATAAAATTAAGCAGAGAATCAAATTCGTGAATTAGAGTTAAAATAAAGAACAAGTGTTAACATGCAATCATTTCAAAGCCAAAAGAAACAATCAAAAAGAGAGTCAAAGAACCGAAAAATTTAAAAAGATCATGAAATGAGAACCCGGATTTGACGAAATTAATCAAAGAAATAAAAATGTGAAACAGAGTGAAAGATAAACATGCAAGAAAATAATGTTAGAAGAAAGAAAAAACAAAGGCCTCAGCAGGGAACCCGTTCATGCGAAGCATAACCCATGGCCTAGAAACCCTAAAATTAGACGTGACCCAGTAATGCCAAGGAAATGAAAAATTTTAAGGGGAAAAAGTGTACATTGTCTCACAATTTGGCTGTAACAGTTTAGGAAAAATCTAACCTACGCTACCTTTTTAATGAAGAGTAAATGTGGAATATTTCTTATTAATACAAGAAAATTCCATGACCTTCAATTGCACATTCTGAAATAGATGTAAAAACAAACACAGGGAGAGATAGAGGAAGGAGTGTATAGAAACATATCAGTGAGCACGAACACCAACCTCAAACGAAAACAATGGGGTTTTATAAAATAGCGGCTACCGCGGCCGCCTTAAGCGTCGTCAGCGTTGCATCGTCGCCGGGTGGGGCGCGTGGCAGCGTTGTGTTGCAGCGGTGAGATCTGGTGGAAGATAGTGCAGCAACCAGGGTTCTGCGTGTTGTGTAGGTTGGGGTTGTGGTATTTGGCGCCTTCGGGGTTTCGTTTCGTTTGACCTTGAAAACGTTATTTTATTTTTATTATTATTATTGGTTGTGTTGGGCTGACTTTAGTTTTGAAAATAAAATAAGTTAGTGTTTGTTTCCTGTGTTTCACTGTTTACGAGTAACGAAAGGCGAAGAAAGTTGGTGTTTGTTTCCGGTGATTTACAAGGAAGGAAAGGTGAAGAAAAGGGGGGAGAAGCGCCGTTGCCGTCCTCGCACAAAAACGAAGAAAAGAAATGAAAGTCACGTAAGATTTGTGAAAACCCAAGAATACCCCTGTCCCATGCATGCATACTGTGCCATGTAGCAGAGGATAAACGCTAGTGTAACCAAATGTAAGATCAAGGTCCTTTTGATAAGAGGAGAAGCTAACTTAAGGCCTATTTGGATAATCTTCTCCAAAAACATTTCTAGGAGAGAAAAAAATACGAAGATAAAATGAAATAAAGGAAAACTTGAGAGAGGAATGTGACCAAGAAATCTCATGACAAGAAAAACTCAAACTACTATACTTTCAATGAAATTAAGATATTCAAAGTTTAAAATCAGATAGTCAAACAATTTACCTTCAAAGTCAAAACTTGAATCGGGATCATAAACTATATCCAAATATGAAGATACAATAGAAACCCGCCATTAGTTTCATCTTCAACAACAACATCATCCCTAGGCTGCTCCTCCTTCCCTGCTTTCCAATTCACACAATAAAATGCAAATGCCTTTTTGGTAAAGAAAAAAAAGAAAAAGAATACAAAGTAGCCCAATTCTTTATTGCTTCAACAACACAGCGCCTCAATCTTCTTGTTTTCAAAACTTCAACCGATCAAAAAACTCAAAATCGCATTTCGCATAAACACAAAGAAAAATAGCACAATCGAAACAGATTCAAGTAACAAACAAGAAAAATGAAATTAAGAAAAAAAATGGTTCATGAAAAGGCCTGCGTCCAAACTAGAGAGTAAAGAAAATAAAGAAGTACCAAAATTGTGAAAAAGAAAGTAAAAGAGAAAATCGGAAAGATTACGACTACCAGAACGTATGTGATTGGAAAGGCCTCAACGAGAAGAAGCTCCATCGGCGCATGTTAACTTTGGTTAGGGTTTCGGGTCAAAACACGGTTTCAAAGAGTCAAGAGAGACAAAGGTGAATACCGTGTTCTCGCTCACTCTCTTTGTTTGTTTCTCGCTTGAAGAAGGAATGGATTGTGGCAATTTCTTCGCTCTATTTTTCTTTTGAATATCTTTGGTTGCCTGGTGTTTACAACAAAGTATAAATGTGTTCTAGTGTTTAGACTATATAATCCAAGCTATAAAATCATATTACTCTTCCTTAAGGAACTCAAAAGAATTTTTTACCGGAAAATAATTTTTTTTAAAAATTACAAAAATGGACCCCCCCTCCCCTTTATTTATTAAACTAAAACTATTCACTGTACAGGTTTATAATTCGGTCTCCAGAAAATCAAATTCTGACCACAGTAGCACTGACGATGTTGTGATGATTACCGAAATTCCCGAATTCTGAGCGGCCTTTTTTTTTACATTTATAATAAATTGAAATTTTTTAAAAAATAAGAATTTAAAATTTTTTAAAAAATTAAAAATAAATGTAATATTTAAATATAAAATTAGTTTATTATTATTTAAATACAATAAGTTAATTTAAAATTTTAATAAGTTATAATGTTAATAAATAATAATTTTAATACATTATATTTATAATAAGTTAGAAATTTAATAAGTTATAATTCAAAATTCAGATATGAAAACACCCTGTCAAATAAACGCTAGTGTAACCAAATGTAAGATCAAGGTCCTTTTGATAAGAGGAGAAGCTAACTTAAGGCCTATTTGGATAATCTTCTCCAAAAACATTTCTAGGAGAGAAAAAAATACGAAGATAAAATGAAATAAAGGAAAACTTGAGAGAGGAATGTGACCAAGAAATCTGTATCTTCTCACTTTTATATATATTAAAGTTCGGTTATCTATTTTTAGGGTTTACAATTCATTTTAATGTTATTACTTGCAATTATGTTTTATGGAATATGACTTATGTTTAATATCATATATGTTATTGGTTATTTTATATATAATTTTCAGGTATGGCATCCGGTTCAAGAAAAAGTTCAAAAGAAAGAAAAGGAAAAACTCCTGCCACCTCGGACACGTTTTTTTAGCCAGCGTGATCAGATAATTAAATATGGCAAGGAGTTTTACCACAGGATAGTCTTTCATCCAAAGGTTATGGACTTTAGCTACTTTGCCACATCAGGGCTGTATTTTCACCACCATATAGAATATCAAGGTTTGCATCATTTTGTGGCTTTGAAATGTGATTTCTTTAAAGATCTTATTAAGGTCTTTTATTCCAACTTGAGAGTATTTGAAGCTGGTTTCCTCTATAGTGACGTGAACAAAACAAAGATAAAAATAAAACTATCTGATTGATTAACTCTGGCTGGTTTGAAATATCATGGGCAAAAATTAGCATTTCTAGACATCCCAGAGGAGATGCAGTTCGACCGTCACATAGCACTGGCATCTATGATTAGACCAGAGCTGCAAGGCCGAAATGTCAGAAATGTAGGAAGTCTTAACATTAACAACAGACTCCTACATTATGTCTACGTCCATATATTAGCTCCCAGATCAAGTAACTTTTCCCAACTCTTGCAGGAAGACATTTTTCTGTTATGGGCCTTAAAGAATAACATTTTGATCAACTGGCCCCATTATATCATGCAACACATGGTCAAATGCAAGGACAATGGGATGCCTCTTCCATACCCCATTTTAATTTCACACATTTTGGCTGTTTATGGCGTAGACTTATCAATTGATGTTGCAGTCGAATTAGGGTGGGCACATTTTTATAATAAAAATACCTTGAAAAAATTAAGTGTCATGAATGTTGACATCAAAAAGTAGAAATATAAAAAAAAATAAAGTAATACATGTTTATAAAATTAAAATAATAACACTTTCATAAACATTAATAAAATAATGTTAGAAAATATAATTATCATAATATATTTTGTTATTATTATTTATTATTATAAATATTATTATTTTCAATTTTATTAATATTATTATTATTTATTATAATTAGTATCATTATTATTTATTATGATTCTTATTATTTTTCTAATATTTATTAT